TGTGTGTGTGTGTGTGTGTGTGTGTATGAAGGGAAGTGAAGTGCTATGTATTGAATCATTATATGTTTCCATACAATGACAAAATGAGTTCTCTGTATTTAAGCCATCACACATGAGATGCACCCAGGTGGAGCAGTGGGCAGCTATGTAAGCGCCCAGGGAGCAATTAGGGAGCTTGCTCAAGGTCAAGTACCATAGCAAAGAAAAACTGCGTTCAACATTCAAAAATGTTCTCTAAAGTTTTGTGTCCAGCTTAAAAAGACTGAATTGATAAGCACTGCACTCCACCTTGTTTCATATCTGTTTTACAATCCTCACACGAACATTCAAACCTTCAAAAGGACACAAATCTTCTTTTTTTATTTTAGTACTACTTAGTGTACGAGGCCAGTGCTCTTCACCTGATCTGCTCTGTAATTACTCCAGTCACAGGTAGCTGCAGACTAAATTGACCATGTTTTAAAGCTCAACCTAGAGGTCTTGTTTTTTATAGGACCACTTGCAATTACAAGAAACTGGAGGAATTTTAGGACGTTTTTCCACCAAGTGTTAGTGTGTCTTAGATTTAAGACGGTAAAATCGGTCATGTCTTACATGTGCCAACAAAATACAAGTTGACGGGAAAGGTTGATCAAAACAAGATGCCAATCAGTACATTTAAGGTACAATAGGACAATAATCATCTTATTGTGGTTCAGATAATGTTTTGTAGTTGCTGAATGAAGGAACGACATATAAATGAACATCCCACCGGTTTTCCAGCCCATCTATGTACTCCTTCTTCTTTTTCCTGCTCTCCTGAGCAGATTGCTTGTTGCGAATCTTTCTGCGTATTTTCTTCAGGATCCTCTCCTCGTGCTGATTGACAGAGAAGGAAGCATTTGCATTTCTTCAGCTTCTGAAAACTAATGCTGAGAGTTGATTTGAGAGTTGAGGCATTTTACCTTTGTAAGAGGTAGCTGGCTGGGCAGGGTGACCCCCTCCTTGGCTAAAAGTTTCTTCTCATCTTCATTGAGAATCAGCTCCTGGATGGACTTTTGTGATGGCTGTTGGGGCTGTTGGTGAGATATGAATACCAATATTGAAAACTACAAATTACAATTGCTGCATGATTACATTTTCTGTCTACGTCCACCATCAGTGCCACCTATCCTTTTTGCTAGAGGCTCACAGGAAGTAGTTTAATGAGGGCAGACTATCAGGCCACATTCAACATCCTCATTTCATGGCTACTTCAAAGCAATTACAGTGTGAGAATCTAAGCTGGATTCTGCCACTCGCTCCTTCATCTTATTAAACTGGGCTAAGAAGATGACATCAATACGCGACGGAGCTAAGATCCATTTCTCTGAAAAACAGGTTATTCTACGGAACTTGTGCTAATCTTGACTGAATAATAGTAAAGTTTTCTTTGTGAAACAAATAATTATTAGCATATTAAATGTGATGATACTTTCAACTTTTTGCTACACATTTTATTCAGCTGGTTTTATATATCTGCTAAATTTCTTTACATAAATAAGGTCAAACTAAAAAAAAATAAAAAATCGTAAGGAAGTGCATATATATTAAAAAGAAGTTCAAGAACAGGCTCATCATCAACTGAATACTAATCTGGATCTTTTGAGTATTTGTCCTCTCAGAAAGTAATTTTGCTACATATTCAGCAGTTTTTTTTCCCCCTTCCGAATTTAGAAAACTTCCAAAGAGGGGAATTGGATTTGCATTCCAAAGGCCTTTCCATGGGACGATGCGTAGTTTTTACCAGTGTACACTCACAGTCGAGCATGAACAACACCAAACGTTGTCTTGCATCTGAATCGAGACGTCAAACACCCGTGAGACACGGCTGCTTCTCCAACCTCCCCACCTGAACCGTCTCTGCTGACTCTGCCAGACACACTTACTGGCTCTGGAGTGCCCGACAGCAGCAAGTCTTTGACAGTCAGCAGGAAGCTCGACTGAGGTCTGTGTACATCTGTAGGGTACGGTGAAGTCCTGGTCTTGGCCATTGGGAAGCCAAACTCCCAGCCACCTGCACACACAGAGACAGTAATAATAATGCAAACAAATAAGATGCATGTGTTTTTACTTGAAGTTTTAATTACTCTTATCTGTACCAAACATTAATTTCTGCTACTAACATCAGTGTCTTCAACAATCTTTTATCAAACACATTTAAAACAACTATTGCAACTACTGCCACATAAAACAAGTTACATATTCCTAATGTTCCTTGCCTGAATGGAAATCAAGATTTAATGCAGTCTGCTGGTTTCCTTAGGAAAATTTTTTTTTGCTTATTTAGTTTTATCATGCACATGTCCCAATAGCATTAGTTATAGTTTCCATCTGAATTTGACTTTTCTGGGTTGAACGATATTGAACTGTATCGTATCATAATAAATTGGACTATGTGAAGTTTTTGTTTGAATTGCACCCAATTGCTCTTTAAAGTACCAAAAAAATGGCTTTAGTTGGGAATTGGTGCTATATAAATGGGTTCAGACTTAAAAAAAAAGTTTAATGAAATTCAATTCAATTCAGTTTATTTATATAGTGCCAAGTCACAACAGAAGTCATCTCAGGGCACAGAACAGAAACCTTCATATACATAAAAAGTCAATTAGTAAAGTTATCTATCTAAGGAAGCCAGCAAATTGCATTGAATATTCACTTCATCACAGATTTTCAGTTTATTTTACTTTTTTTGTTTGTCTTTCATTAAATCAGTTGCAGCTCATTACACAACCACTGTTCGTAAACATCTAGCATCAGTGTTTGAATTCCTGTAATATTTTAATTGTGTATTGCTATTGATTGTTAGGCTGATCACGGAGCACAATTACTGTAGCAATTCATTGTAGGTTTTTGAATTGCAATTGGAACATGACTGAGATGGATGTGATGTTAATCCCAATCAGATTTCTGACATGTGAAGAAAATAGAACACAGTGATATTATGACTTTGGTAAGAAAAATTTTGAATATTTATCTGAAAATAAAGGATTACCAACAATTGAATATTACTTTATATTTTTTTTTCTATACTATATCTGGTAATTAGTTGCACATAAATTTTTTTACAGAGGTCGGTGGAGTCATTGGTCTCCAGGGCTGCCTTGGTTTGTGGTCCTGGACCAAAGCAGGGAGCATCCGGAGGACTTTCAGGACGCTGAGGACTATCCATCTGGTCTGACGGAGTGCCCTCACTGACCCCACTGTCGCTTGGAGACGGAGACCACAGAGGTGAGGTGGACACAGAATCACCTCCACTCAGAAGGGCGTTGAGAAAGTCATTCCCTGTTTGCTCAGCTGGCGGCAGCATCTGTTGGATGAATACGCTTCGTGCTATCATTAGCCTGTCATTGTGAGATCAAGACAAAGTGACAGACAGTATAGTAACATTTATCTACATATTAAAATGGAAGGTAAATTCCTGCAGAAAATTTAAGCTGATTAGAGATGTAAAAAAACATCACAAACATTTGGCTCCTGAAACGACCAGCTGTGATAGTTGCTGTGGTCTCCTGTGTCCTCGTTACGAAGAATCCCATCGTTTTTATCAAACAGCCAGTCAAGCAACTCTGTGCAGTCACAACCCTGAAATGAAACATTTAACAACAACTTATCTAATATACTTTCCCTCTGACAGACTTTAAGAAATACATTATATCTGCGGTTATTTCACTACTACCGGTACTCTTGAGACAAACACAATACATGTGAATATAAATTTCCCCAAAATAAGTACTTGTTAGGAAACTAGTATTTGCGAGTCTAAATTTTAGACTCAAGACATAGTTATGGTTTCAATTATTAAGCTTGAACTTTGCTCCGCGGGACTTTCCAGTTTCATCCTGTGCAATAATCAGAATACTAAAACAAAACTTACCTGATCTGGGTAGAACTCCATAGTGTCCCTGTTTGGGAGAAACACCACAAACAAATGATGAAATCCAACCACGATATCAAGTGTTTGTTCCTTTTTTAATGTGAAACGTCTCTTTCTATCTTCGTGAAGCCTCTCTAGTGTATTTCTCCGCTCTGCGCTTGGGTCCAAAGTTTAAACTCCAACACAACACACCCAGCTGACTTGCTTCCTTTGTTGTCATTGGATAAATTAGGAGATACCAGTAATCTAACTGGCAACAAAGAGGAGACAAGCTCAACCTCGCAAGCTGTCTGGTCTGCCTCTCAACAGAGAGAGCAAAGTCTGGTGCTTCTCCTTTTTTGTCCAATTTTTTTTCTTTGATAGTGTATTGACACAAGGATAGCTCTGACCTTTGGCATATATTTATAACAAAATAAACACGGAAAACCAAGTATTTTTTTAAAGACAGTCAAGACCAGTCCTGACAATGGTTTTCCAAAGTTTGTTGGGATTGCTTTATTTGATTTTTAACCCTCAACAATAGAATGCTGGCCTGATGGTAGCAGCTGAAGGATGGAGCCTTTACAGTATAAAAAGGTTAATACTTTGATTGTATCTTGAACTTTGTGCTTTTCAGATGTTATGAGGTTCAAAGATTGATCCAATATAGGATGGTCACAGCTGCTATATGACTTTAGACAACACAAAAATGGCCATAACTCAGGTGATTTTAAAGATATGGAGCTAAAATTTGATGTGATAGTAGCCGAAACTCATCCTCAACACATACTCTGGGTGCTAACTGATCTTACAAGATTACACAGTATTGTCAAGTGATGTGTGTTGAGGTCATCCCCCAAAACCCATTGTTAGGCCGGTAAAGAAGTGTGCAGGTAACACAGTCATCTGAGAACAAGATGCTAATACAGAATCTGTGTGGGTGCTTGTTTAAAGATAACAAGTTTGAGTTTACTTAATCACGAAAGGTAAAATGAAATTAAAAATCAAAGAAACACATTGGTAATAATAAAAGCAAGTACTTAACCTTTAGTATGAATTTCTCTTTATAATCAAAATATAAACACAAAATTGTGTAGTTGTAATTAACCAGATATGGCCAAAAATGATTAAAACAGTGATTTTTCATCACAAGACAATATTAGTTTAAAATTAAAATTGCAAGAACATCTATTGTCCACCACCTTTACTTTGGTGGTAATATGCTTTTTTTTTTTCCATTTTAACTACCACATATTTCTAGATTGCAGAGTTGAGAACAAAATGTACAACAGTACATTTTCATCTTTGATACGCTTCTTGGCCCGTTGCCTTCATAAATCTCCTCCTACATGTCTCTGTGTGAGTGCAGCTACAGCGTGCGCTCTCAGGACATTATTACCTGCAGTGTTCCCCCAGTGCGGACTGTACTTGGCCAAAGGGTCTTCTCCTACTCCGCTCCTGTTTCCTGGAATATCTTGCAAAAAGATCCGAGTGTGACGATCTCTCCTGTTTCACATCTGATTCTCATCCTAATTATCTGCAGGTGTCTTCCTCTTGTCTCATTAGTAACTAGTATTTCGTCCTTGTGTCTTCCACACGAGGAGGTTATGGTTTTCCTGAGGCTGCAGTGGTGAGTCCGTGCACCTGACGTTATTCGAGCATTGTCCTTCCATGGTGTCACGATCTGTGGTCCTGCTCCGCCTGCCCTCCTCCGGGCACCTGCTCTGTCTGCACTGGGGCCCCCTCTGGGGGCTAAATATGTTTTTGTTGCCCTGTCAGCATTTTTCTGTGTTATGTTAACGTAGAGCACTAATTCTCATTTTTGTTTCTCCGAGTTATCCGGCCCTCCTTCATGTGGGTCCCACGCTCCTCGCCAGCCATCCAGATCGTGATACTGAAGCTCTTGACCTTGACCTCTCTATATGATTTTAAACAACTGCTAAGTTCATGGCAAAAACCAACGTAGACATGTTTTTAGTATTCTACATCGGTTTATAATGTTGGTCTTTGTGTATCGTTTTTATATAATTTCATCTATTCATTTTTTTATTTTATATACTTTTTTATATGATTGTCTGTTGTTGTCTGTACCTCATCTGTGCTCTTTGTTCAAAACAGGTCTCTCTTTTAAATGAGTCCTTGATGCTCAATGAGACTAACCTGTATAAATAAAGGTTGATTAAAAAAAAGAAGAAAACTTTCTTGTGTTGCTGATATTCAGAATACTAGTTTAGAAAACTCAAATTTTCCTTCAGTTCAAGAAAAATAATCAACAAATGTTTAAATTAGTAACCTGACACTAACCCTAACCTTCTGTATTGCATATTTTTTATTGCAGCAGGTTAGTGCTGAGGCATCATAATACAGCATGGTAACCCACTCACTTGTTCCTGATATCATTGGTCTCACCCGTCCCCACTTGTCTCATCAGCCCCAGTCCATTTACTCCCTCGCCCTCACTCATGTGCAGTCTAGCATTGTGCATCATGTCTTGGAGTTTTGCTACCCTGAATCTTTGGCTGCCATGCCAGCCTTTGTTTTCAGCATTTTTGTTAATAGTGTTTTAGTTTTTGTTAAAGCTCCTTGTGTTGGCCTGAATTATTGGGTCCATCTCTATGACTAACTGTGACATTTGAACAAAAACAACTTGAACAATTTGTTTTTTTTACTTATACACAGTTTTTTTTTAAAGTTTCAATTACATTAACATCAGAATCCAGAGTGAACATGATAGAAAGCCTAAATGACCTTAAGTGTCCTGCACACAAAGTTCTACACCAATGGTTGTTTTATTTTATAGACAGGTATTAGCTTAGCTGCCATTAACTTTCTCATTAAACAACACAGAACAAGAAAATAGACAAACAAACAAATAAAAAAAAAAACAGTATTCAGAAGACATTAGATCTGGCAACTATAAAAACTTGAATGCTGTCAAAACACTTATTTTTATGCACAAACACAATTTCTAGATAGACTGTTTTAAAGTTACTAATGCTCAAATGTAAAATCATACTCCATGCCTGAAATACATTCACAGCTATTTCTGGTACTCCAGGTTGGCGCTCCATTCTCATTTGGTTCTTTACACCTGCTTTAAATAGAATTGTATTCCAAAATGTAATTATCAATGACCTTTAATAGTATTTTAGCAAATTGTCCTCAATGTCCAATGTTGCTGGCGCCTGAATGACTTCAGAGCACAGTTGAAACAGAGGTGGATATGAATACTGTTCATATACAGTATCTCCACTTTTCATATCCATTCATATCCAATAATTGTGAATCCAGGCCAACCATTGATAAAAGTGAATACAACAAAGAAACATCAAACTTAAGAATAATTTCTAGTATATTTTGTTGAACAAAGAGGCCACACACAGTCAGTCATAATAACCAATATACATAAATGGGAAAAAACAACTAACAATTTGGTTAAATAGTAAAGAACAGCATGATGGCATGAATATATCTGGACAAAAATGTGTCTTTAAGCATGCACATAAGTAATTGTAAAAAGATCAATTTCTAAATGATTATTTTGGAATTATTACATTTAAAATGTATTAGGGTTTCTGCATAAATTGTGTTAAATTTGGTGATCAGTAATAATCATTTACAAAAGGTCCCCTGCTAGAGATTAGAATATTTCAGCACAGCTTATTTACATTTTATCTTAGCCTTAATTTTTTCTTTAATGCTCTCCATCACTAGATTTTCTCCCACAAAATAATTTTACTTCTGTTGCCCTTTCAACATTTAGTTACCATTTTTTTTTTATATTTTGAGAAAAAAGAAAAATAATTTTGGCTTTTTCCGTGACCTCTCTGATTCCATCGTTATCTCCTTGACACTGTTTCCATCTGCTGATTATTTTACTGACTCAATATCCGTCATGTGCCGATATGGGCGAAAGTGCACTCATCAGTGTTTGAATGCAAATCAAATGAAACATAAATACTGACAACAAAACATTATTTTGCTGATTTTGCTAATTTATTACAAACTTTTTTGTACACTTTTGTTGGTAAACGATGCTTCTTTAGTGGTTATTTTAGATAACAAATAAAAATGTTCAACTCAAAACATTCATTATTTCGACAGTGGTTCTGTAATAATTTTCTTTGTTTTGTTTTTTTCCATTATTGTTTAAATATTACAAAGCAGGTAAATAATAATAGATTTGTTATTAGGTTTGTAAATGTGTTATAGTATATTTTAAAAAGACAGTTTCATATATTTTCTTCACTGATTTAGACTTTTGTACACTTTTCCAGTTTTTGTGAAAAAGCATCTGGCTTTAGTCAAATGTAATGCTGATGGGTCTAACCAAGAAACTATCTAATTTATTTCAAATTTGCACCAAAAATAGTGGCAAAATGTTAAAATTCCTTACAGATATTAAGACCTCATTTCATTGTGGGCCTGTCCACCACCAGTATAAAAACATATAACCTCTTGATTGAAGTACTGCTGCCTCAAGATCTCACTATCACATTTCTGTTTCTGAGTCATCGCATTAATCATATCATACAATAACGTCACCGCCTGTAACCATCAGGTACTGATGTCATCCTGCCATAAAACTGGCAACAGTTTAACAGGCAGGGATTTACTCTTGTGAGCAGCACAATATAAATACATTTAAGAAAAGACAACAAACATTATTCTCCATCACACTTTTGCTAAAAGAAATTCTGGACTTGTTGCATCACAGCTACAACGACAGCTGGAGTGAAGGCTTGAATGCTGTTCACTGCTCTTTTTATGTCATTTTTCATAAAAGAAGCATTACTCTAACATTAATGTTTTTTTTATTTGATAGGTTATAGTTCCAAAGGCCATAAATAAATAAATAATACCTTTTGTTATTACTTTTCAAGCTGGGTTTAGAAATTAAATGTAAAAAGAAAAGTTATTTTCTAACAAAAAAGAGAAAAAATAAATCAAGTATTTTGATGGCAAAAAATGGTCTAGTTTATTCTCTTTATGTTTTTGATTAGACTTTTGCAAATTTTGTGACCGACTTCAAAATTATTTTCAAACTAAAGTGAACTAAATGGGT